GCACACACCAGGCTTTTGAAAGATTACTCTGTGCACTCTCAAAGCAATCGGCTACTCCCCAGCTCTCCTGTGTGTGAAGATTCTTAGTGTTCTTCAATTCCTTTCAAGAACTCTCTGTGTTGTTCTTGAAAGTTCTTCTCTTTGTAAGATTGTTTAGGTTAGGTTTTCCTTTCCTATCTTCCGCAACAATCTTTTGTATTAATTCTTGATATAAATCAATAAGAATTAAAAAGTTGAAAAAATCTGAGTAATTGTATTCAACCCCCCCTTCTACAATTACTTTCTGTTTATTGCCTTACCCTTCGGGACTAACAGTATCTTTATCAGTCAAAGTAAGTATGTCAGAGATATGTTGAAAAAGTTTGATCTATCAAATAGCTCATCTATGAAGACTCCAATGGCTCCTCCTTTCTCACTAAATAAGGATCCAAATGGAAAGTCTGTAAACGTAACCGTTATAGAGGAATGATCAGCTCCCTGATGTATCTCATAGCAAGTCGTCCATATATTATGTACTCTACTTGTTTATGTGCATGATATCAGTCTGAACCTAAGGAATCCCATCTGATTGTTGTAAAATGCATCTTCAGATATCTGAAGGGAACTCATAACTTGGGTCTTTGGTATCCCAAGGGTTCAGGTTTTGACCTTATTCGTTATTCGGATAGTGATTTTGCAGGTTGTAAAATTGATAGAAAAAGCACCACTGGAGGCTGTTAGCTACTAGGTGGAAAGTTGGTGAGCTGGACAAGTAGAAACAAAATTCAGTGTCCACATCAAATGCTGAGGCTGAATATGTTGCTGCTAGAAGCTGCTGTGCCCAAATACTTTGGATGAAAAACCAGCTCAATGACTATGATCTACAGCTCTCAAAGATCCCTATCCATTGTCATAGCACTAATGCTATTGCTATTGCAAATAATATTGTTCTTCACTCCATGACCAAACATATTGAGATCATATATTATTTTATCAGAGATTATGTTATGAATGGTAATATTGAACTTCACTTCATACCAACTGAGTACCAGCTCGCTGACCTTTTTACAAAGCCTCTTGATGAGATAAGATTCAACATCTTGATCAGCGAACTTGGAATGGTGAACGCTGAGGATTAACTCCTCCAGCTATAAGCAATACTCAGTAAGTGAAATGATTCAGTGTTCTTACTCTGCCACTAAACTCTTGAGTAAATGTATCTTCTCTCTCTAAGGTATGATTACTTATCTTCTTATCAACACTTAAAACTATCATTGAATCTTTCCATATTCAGTGATCAAACTGTTATAAAAGAAATATTTCAGTGTTCTCTCTATCATTGAACCTTTGTATGCAAGTATATAGTTAAATTATATTTACTTGTCCTTTCTTAAAACAAAACAATCACTGAATCTTTTCTTGTTTTTAAAAGTAAGATCCCTTCAGTGATTTTCTTTATCACTGAATCTTTTAAACTTATATCTTTTCTAAAGGATATTTTCATAAAAACTGATGTTGGATATTCTATATTCAATGATTATTTTCTATTTTTAAAAGACTTAAACATTCTTACTTTGTTTGAAATAAAATGGAAATTGAACGGTCATAATTTATATGACGCCATTCTCTTTTAAATAATATACGATTTTTTGAGACGTGCGCATCTTTCTGACACACACGTCCCTTTGAAATTCCATCCAATCATGGATGAGGACGTGCAAACCTTCATCATTGCATATCTTTTCAAGTCGTATTTCTCTCTCTCTTCTTTTCCATTTCTCTCTCCTCCTACCTATAAATATGAGATTTTTTCTCTCATTTCTTCTTTACACTTACAAAATCTCATCGAACCTCTGCTCCCAAGAATTTCGCAAAGAAAGAACTCAAGAACTTTCAAACCCCTTTCAACCTTTTCTCTTCAAATCTCAGGTTGATAATCTTCTTTCCTTATTTTGAACTATTCTTCTTCTATGAAGCTCTTGTTAAATACTTTAAAAACTCGTTCTCTTGAATGACTAACAAACAAATTATTAACTCATTATATTACTTGGTTATAATCTAGGTTTCAAAACACTTACCCTTCTTGAAAAAAAACCTAAATCTTTTTGGTTTATTCAAAGGAAGTTTTATCTTTCAAACATGAACTTTTCTCTCAATGAAGTGTCCTTCAAGGCAAATAACCATGTTTCTCTTTTGGACATCCCCATCAACAAACCTCACTTTGAGGACGCTGCTAACTTCCTCAAAAACTCCCCTATCTCTCACGCACTACCCATGAACCTGTCATGGTTAAAGAATTCCTTCAGCAATTTTGGTCACTGCTAAAGTGAAACAAGAAACTGACAAGACTAGAAACCAGGTGGAGAAAATCTCCTTCACCTTCAACAGGATGACCGTCAGTTTTGGCATAGCCACTTTGAGAGAAAGATTAGAATGATTTTCATAAAACATTTCAGCATACTTATCTTGCTCTTTTTTATATTTTCTTTCCAAATCAGAAATTCTTTCTTTGAAATCCTTATTTTCTCTCTCAATCTTTAATGTCATTTCAAATTCTTTACAAAATTAATTAATCAAACTTTGATCTTTTTGCAGTTCAAAACTTAGACAAAACAATTATCAAAATCAACCTTATTGGACAACAAAAAGAATCACTTATCGGACAAGTCACAAATATTTTCAAAGATATTGGACAACAAATTGAATCTTATCGGACAACAAAAACCAAACAAAGATATCGGATAGATTACCTTACCAGTCACTATTATATCGGTCACCAAAATATATCGGACAAAACTTTACCGGATACCTTTTTATCGGGCAAGTGTTCACCGATCACTTGCTTTAACGGACACACCTTATCCGATTACCAAACCTTATTGATCAAAAACTTATCGGTCAAAAAGCTTTTATTGCGTAACACACAAATCGAACAACCAAATGATATGCAACAGGCGATGAACACTCTTATCGCTTGATGAACTTGTTCATCGAGCGATGAAGTTTCACTTAGGCAAAAACTTCTAGATTTCGATCCAAACTACTAAAAACAATACCAATTTGAAAGAAATAAGCACAGATTGGTTCGAAAACTTACCATAAACATAATTTTAATATCAATTTCTATCAAAAACCGATCAAAATGATCAATTTGACAAAATTTAGTATGAACAATTTCAAGAACTCAAACACCAAGAAATCCAAAATTGATTCACGAAAGCAATTCAATTACAAAATTGAGTGATTCTTCCAATCACAAATCACATACAATTCAATCAATTACACAATTTAATTCACACAGAAATGAAGAATTGAGTAGAATTTAGAAGAAACAATCCAGAACACAGTCTGATCAATCAAGAATAGTCCAATTTCCAATTGATTATGGTTTCAATTCAGTCCAAATCGCTGCAACTTGCTTTGATACCAATTGTTATTCCTAGAAAGATCCTTTGTAGGAACTACCCGTAATAACGAACTTGCAAAATGGATCTGTTTATCATAAAGAGATCCGTCATTCCTAACTTTGCTTTACCTAAATTGTTATTTGAACAAGTAAAAATTGTATTGGTCCGAGTGGATATAGCATTTATCTCCTAGATATCCACAGAATTTTGAAAAATCCAAACATCTCAGAGAGAGATAGAGAGGTTATTTATCGAATAAACCACACTCCTTCGTATATGTCAAGAGTCCAATGATGAAAAGGGGTTGGGGAAAGCTTGAACCCAATTCCTACAGTGATAAATATGAGCACAATTGAAATTTATGGGGAGTTATACATTTGTATATTGATAAGACCATTCACTATTTCTTAATTTATTAGATAATCGAAAACAGAGAATCTTGAATACTATTAGAAATTCAGAAGAATTGCGCGAGGGGGCCATCGAACAGCTGAAAAAAGTTCGGGCTTGCTTAACGAAAAGTAGAAACATAAGCAAATAAGTTTCGAATGAATGGATCTCTGAGATAGAGTGAGAAAGATTGAATTTGATTGATTCAACTTACAAAACCTTGGAACAACTAAAAATTACAAAAATGAAACTATAAATTTTGAATAACAAAAGGCAAGTTGTTAGACAGACTTGACAATCACAACATGCCATGTGGCATTTTTAAATCTAAAACAGAACATCAAAGAATATTTCAGCTCCTGTAAGTAAGGCATAAATGATTCAAATTTTTAACACGTTATAGATTGAGCTCGAACTTGGGTCAATCTCAAACGCAAAATAGAACTCGTTTAAATTAACTAGCCAAGCTTCATAATAAAAATGTTCAACTTGGCTCATTCGATAACTCAATCAAAATTTTCAAGTCAAGCCGACTCATTTGGGCATACTTTTTTCAAGCGAAACATGCTCATATGTTCATAAATCATACAAAAAAAAATTAATATTATCAAGTTTAAACCCATAAACAATTTAATCGATATTAAAAAAGCATTGACCTCTAGCTCGATAGTTCAAAAAATATTCGAGCTCGAGCCCTACATTTAAAAGTTTATCCGACCTCAAGTCTGGTATTATTTTTTCGAACCGAGCTCGAATTACCTACTACTCAACTCGTTTACACCCCTACCTATAACCGGTGTGCACTAAGGCCCTGTCCATAACCGCTTTTCCCCAAAACAAATCCAAAACCGAATCAGGGCACAATACACGGTTTTAGTTGCAACGTATTCCTTCGACAAGGACCAGAGGAGAGGTATCCATATGTTCAAGTTCAGCTATGAAACTACAATAACCGAAACTGTTCAAGTAGAACCAAACACGATACTGTCAAAGTGTTTGGCTTGAACGGCCTGACACTCACCTTCTAATTGCATGCCGTTTTTTTCCAATTCATATGTGAATAGGTAAGAAGGGCTCATTTAACTTTAGGAAGAAAAAAACCAAACACAGCAAAGAATCATCTATTCACAACAAAGCATCAAGCCATCACATGATCACCAATTTGATGCCAAAAAGAATAAATAATTACAGATTCCCAGATACCAATTTGAGTGTTTAACCACATTTTTTGGACAAATTCAAGTCATAGATAGTATCAATTACATACATATCAGAAGTAGATTCCCAGATACCAATTTGAGTGTTTAACCACATTTTTTGGACAAATTCAAGTCATAGATAGTATCAATTACATACATATCAGAAGACTATCACACAGATAGCACTAATCAAGAACAAAAAAACGATATTGAGGCAGATAAATGACTATCTGGATCGATATGAACTACTACTGTTCATTTGAAAAACGGTTTCCTACTTTACTGTATGATACTAATTTCCTAACAAAAAAAAAATTGTAAAAAGTGTAGAGAATATGTGAGTATCACCTGGCACCACACTTTAAATCCACTCGATCGGTGCAGGCACAACGTTGATCTTCTTGTCCAGTGTTGGACTCTTCAAAGTTGTAATAAATGATTGTTGGTCTCAGATCATTTGTATCCTTCGTGTGGAGATCAAATGATCCACTGCAGAGAAAAAAAACCAAAAGCTAAATATCGTTGATTTCATGGGGACTTTAACTCCCCCTTGTGGTGTGAGCTCGATTCCTTGTTTTGCTTTTCTTGAGTATGGTTGAGATATGGTCGATGGCCCTTTGAGATGATTGGGTCTCGCCGGTTAACCACTGAAGAGCCTCAGAGGCAGCACTTTTTTCCGCAAGTTTTTTACCGCCACATGGCTGACCAACGAAATCCAAACCATTGAAGAAGACAGTGGATCGGAACTTATTGTTTTTCAACTGTGATGTTTTGTAGGTGGGCGGTTGATGACCTGCTCTAAGAAGCAATGTTTGCAAGTGATTCTTGGAATTGTCGTGTTCGGCTACACTGCCACTCGTGGATGCACGCTTTTTATCTGCCTCTTTTCCAGAACTCTTTGAAGCTGGTGGCAGCTTACGACCATAGACGAATCTACCCTCACATCGATCTCCTGATACTAGCAGTTTTAAAGCCTCCAGGAGTCCGTTGTCGTTGCCTATGTCCTTTTTGGGATTCAAAAGCTGCAATAGGCATTACCAGAGAGAAGATAAAAAGAACACATAAATTCTGGTAACTAAGTTTAAACAAACACGCATATACACCCAACTAGTTGGTAATGTTTAGACTATGTTTGGCAAACTAGCTGATAAGTTGGTTGTTGGCTGATAAGCGAGTCTAAAAACTAGTCACGTTTGGTAAAAACTAGTTGATAAGTTGGATGATAATGTAAAATTACCTAAAAGGGTGGGGTTTTTGCTCATTTATGAAAAATATGGGGGGCATACCTGGAAAAATGTGGAAAACCCCCTAGAACTTGTTGAAACGTCGCCTGAAATAGCTTTTCAAAAAGCTAGCTTATAAGCTAACTCATGGCTTATCAAAGATGGTTTTTTCAATGAGTTCAAAAAATAAGCTAGCTTATGGTCACCAAACATGGCCTTAACATATCCCACAGACAAACATGTAAGTGAACCTACAGGGGACTATCGTGTTGCAAGGAATATGCCTTAAACGGTCATAGACGTACGATGAATAATGGTTCTTGACGAGAACCTAAACAGCGTTTGTATGTGGGGAAGCCATAGAAAAGCACATTCATCTTGTGAGATAATCAAATACCATATATCCACATACATATACATAGAGGAAAGTTCCGTTAGGAACCTAAAACTGATTAGAAACCCGGAAACCTCCCACAGCGTGACACGTGGCATATCCAGAATAAATACGGAAGTGTTATTCATGATGAACACAGAAGTGTTATTCATCATGCATACCGAAGTGTTATCCATCATGAATCATGATGAATATGGATGTGTTATTCATCATAATTATGGACGTTTTATTCATCATGAATCACACATTCATGATAAATATAATACAACAATCATGATTAAGTAACAAGTCCATATTCAAAATGAATATGCCACGTGTCCTGCTATAGGCGATTCCCGGGTTCTTAATCAATTTTAGGTTCCTAATGGAACCTGCCCCTATACACAATGTACTTTTTGTTCGGTTCAGCTACTAAATAGATAACTCATTTTTACTCAACTCTAGGCTCCCCATGTAGTATTCAGAAGCTTTATATTTCAGGGCACAGTCAGTGTTCTTAAATATCAAAGCATAAGGCTTGCATCAAATGGTTGCCCCTCTAACATAGACTATTAAGAGTCTCCCAAACATATATATACATGAAGGCACCACCACTTGATCCAAAACTTTTTATGCAAGTGTTGCTATCCGGTATGACATAATCGTATCTAGTACATTGGTTACCTTCATATGGATGAGTTCATTGAGCTCTCTCTTCAAGGCAAGATAAGTGCCAGCCAAGCCAGGCTTCATGAAGAATTCTAAGTAACCACCCAACATTTTCAAGTGCCCATCCTAACCAAAAGCAAGTTGTATTTTAGCAACTTCCGTGTAATAACAAGAAAAATTGCATATGAACAAACTTACCAGACCCCCTCTGGAAACATTTCCTCCAAATAAGAGAAGCACAGAATCCGACACAGCTGTTGAATCTCGAAGAAATACAGAATTCACCTTCACCTTCTCATTGAATACCAGCCATGGGTATGGGATGGTCGGTTCTTGAGAATTAACTGAATTCTATACGCACAAAAAGGAAATGAAATTTAAAAGTTGTACAAAAATAGAGTGAAAGAATTTCTTCATGAACTCCAAATGGCAAAATGGACTTACCGAGTAAAGCAATACAGGACCATCCTCCATTGTTTTCAGTGATACTGATTTCTCTTTGTTCTGCCAAAAAGAACGGACTTGTTTTCATAATCATATATAAACACCCATGAATTGAGAAGCAGTTTAAACCTAAAAATTCAGCAAATGTAAGTCCAAGAACAAGGATCTTTTTTTGTTTTTAGTTGTGAATCTCTCAGTATTATCCAAAGTACGCAGTGGTACATTTCATGTTAGCATTTTTACATCACAAGTTACTTTTTTGAAGTATATAATATTTATGTATGGCAAAACTAACACACACTCCTCACCTTGAACCCTTCACCTCCAAGGGGGTTGGGATCAACCAGTTCTTAGCCAACCGATTATCTCCTATATTTAGGAATAGATATTCACCATTTATTTAGAGATAATCTTGTATTTTATATGTATATCTTTTCCTGATTTGTAGCTTGTATTCTTCCCTATATATARGRCATTCATAATCAATAATAGGCATTGAATCTTTATACCAAAACAAGCCTTTACCAGTAACCTGGATGCCGCCTGGTCATTTACCCTTTGGCCACAACTTACTATTATATTGTTTGTTCTTACAATTTACAGCAGCATAGCTATAACTTCTGGTATGTCAGGACTAATATATCTCAAGTTGGTACAATTTAGACTTGACCGACTCAATCATCCACGTTCAGGAGGTGTAACAGTTATATAACGTTTGCATAACTAGAACAAGGGTATCATTATAAATTCTAATAAATTAATGCCGACAAACTTTTACTTTATAACAACAAATATTAGCTTTACTAAATTACTTTAAAGTTAAGAGATTATTACAATTATTATAACTGCCATCTTTATCTTTACTCTAGACAGATCTAATTAATTCCTTAACAACCCTGCCATCCTAGAACATTAGCATACAAGAGGGGCATTTCTCAATTGAGTTAGTCACACATGGAATCTCAGATGTGGAAGTTTTATTCCGATTTATTTGGCGTTTAGTTGGTTGCACTCTAGGTCTTACCTAAGATCCTTAGTCTATCCGAGGCTATCAAATCAATATTTAGTTTGTAAAAGCTCATTGGAAGCCTTGTCTCTTCTCATCTCCTTAATCTTCCCCTACTGACTATTGCTCACAATGCCCATCAAATTATCCATGACTCTGTACTTAGATTCAAGTAAGAAAATAAACTGATAATTAAATCATCTGACAGTTTTAATTAAGGATGTGGACTTAACCAAGAAATTGCAGAGCAAAGAAGTTTACTATAAAAGCTTGATATAAGAGAAAAATCAAAGACACAGGAAATGCATTCCATCAGTCAATATATTATACACACCAAACCAAACTGAATGAGCCCAGTACATCCCACTCGGAGGTGGGATCTGGGAGGGGTGAGATCTCCGGAGAGTAGAGCGGTATTTTCGATGAAACCCCCAGCTTGCAAGACAGGTAACCCGAAAAGACTGAATCAAAATAGGAAGCTCACCACAACAGAGCAAATTCCTGGGTACAGCCCTGAGCAAATAATGGCCCGGATGAGATGTTCATCATGGCTCCATGTGTTGCATTTCTCCATATTATCAACCAATCCACCGTCCCTAAGCAAATGATAGAACTGCTTCCTAAGAGAATCAATAGCCCTCAGAGTTTGTGAAGAAAGGAAATTTCTCCAACAGTACTCATGACCTGACTGCTGTCTTTCAGCAGCTTTCCAACCATCAAAAGCACGGAGAAGAGCAAGGTGGTCACTGTTATCACGCGAGGAAAACTGGGCTTTTGCAGACTCGGCAAGCTTAAAAAATCAAGAGACAATTAAATGAAGCAAAAAATGAAAAATGTAAGACAGTAACAATTTAAAGCTGAATTATAACTGGCAACTACAAATTAGTTGCCTGCTGCAAAAGAGAACTAGTTAGAACCTCTGTTCTGAAAACAAAGACAAAAAAAAAAAGAGGCACACCTCGACTTTTGAGAGCAATTTATGAATTCCAAAAGAAATTTTTCACAAAGATTTCGTTCAAATTAATACCAACATGTAAAATATGTGAGCAAGTTTAACGTGTTCTATATAACTTTTTTAAGGAGTTGTGCTAATCCTTCCAAAATTACTCCATTTTATCATTAAAGTGAATGTATACCTCTGTATCTTTAGAACAAAGGGAGACACAACTTTACTAATTAAAAAAGGTTGAGTGGGATTTCAGCATGTGCAATCAATAACTTTGATAGCTGTCACAGAATTTAACATGTAATTTAGAAACCAAAAAAATTATCCTGCCTGTTGGTTTACAAATAACACAGATTCATGGAAATTGGACTCCAGTCTAAAATAAAACTCTTTAAAACCATAAGGTACTTACATCCTTCTTGTCGAACGGCATCAAAAATGGATCTCTGACACTTAAACCAGCAACAATAGTCATTATTGGATCGAGGCAGTTGAAAATTGCCCCCAATATCAACATCTTACCAAGTTTAGGCTCAACCGGAAGCACTGACAATTTGCGACCTGTGAAAAAAGCAACCATGGATCAAGAATAAAAGGTAAGCAAAGCTACTTACAGTGAACGGTTCTATATATCAGGAAGTTCATCATGAAAACGGAAGAGAAACCAATCGAACCCGAGGTGTTCATTACCTAACACTGTAAGGTTTTCATTGTCATCTAGGGCGCCAATTATTTTCAAGTATTCAATAGCATTTTGAACCTGTAATGTGGCAAATTGTGGGTATCATGTTGAGAATAATAGAAAAATATACAATGATGTTCTTTTTTACTTGCGGAATAAGTTTATGTTCAAACTTACAGATAATGGTTCTGGCGGCTGCAGGGCCCTTGATAAGAACTCTGAAATACTACCAAGTTGCAGGCTTTTAATTTGGAGGCATAAAGATTGTAAGGGTGTCCTCAACAGTTCTGGAAGTTGATATTCAGCAAAAGCATCATATACAGATTTGGGATACAAGTGGTAGCATTCGCCTGGCTGTACACGGCCAGCTCTTCCCCTCCTCTACAAACAATGGATGGAGAGTTGATGAGCTCGCATAAAATTAAAAATAACACACAGTGCAAATCTACGCAAACCCAAGAATCTTATTACTCCCTCAGCTCTCTAAGTGACCCACTTTGACCATAACCGTCAAATTGTATTCGTGAAAATTCAAATTTATTATGAATCCTAAATTATTTTCAAGATAACTTTCTTGTCCACTTGCAGTGTATCATTCAAAATAGTCATCAGTATTTCCCCAAAATCGAAGAAATTCATATTTCACATTTAAAGTCACCTACTAGATAAAAAAGGGAGCAGTTATATTCTTCATAGCTCATTCATGAAGCAACTTAATCATAGTAGTCTTACTTGCCGAGCAGAAGCCTTTGAGATCCAGGCCGGAAGCAAACATGGAGTGTTGTTCAGTGCATCATAGGACGTCTCCTTAGCTTTTCCACAGTCGACCACGAAAACTACATCGTTGATGGTGATGCTTGTCTCGGCCATGTTGGTGGCTAAAACTATTTTCCTGATGCCATCTTCAGGTCTATTGAATATCAATTTCTGATAAGAACAGCCAAAACAAAGGAAGGAAATAAGAGAAGCATTATACAACTTTAGCCATTCTAATCTGATAACACTATCTGAAATCAGAATTCACTGGAGCTGATAAATCTTCTTCAAATAACAAATCCTCATATAAGAAACTTGAAGCAATAAGTACCAAGTTTAAATATAATTCTCAACCAAAGGAAAGGATTTAAACACGTGTGTTTGGCATGAACTCTATAGCGAATACAACTTCTGTTCCCTAATACTTCCGCTGCTGGTCTGGTTCATTAGGTGTTCAACCCTAAATATGATGCCACAATTTTAGGAAAATGAAGAGTACGCAACGCTAAGATGATATTACTCAACAAAAGGCATGTTAGGTTCAACTACCAGCCACTCTTATGTTCGTATGCAATCTTGTATCATGAGAGTGCAGAATCCAAGTACAGGGCCATGGCCGATGTTTCCTGTGAGATTACTTTCGGTGATGGGGTTGGAGCATTTCTGATCCGTTTACTGTCCATCCGCTGCATCATCCAGGCAATATACAGGCAAATATTCTAACAAACCATCATGGAGAACACGTAGGTTTTACTTATAGCTGGGCATGATAGATTTTTTATGCTCAAGGTTGAGGAGTGTTAGAAATACTTTTTCCATCTTTTATCTTTATTTATATCTATTGTTTCTTATCTACTCATGTTCAGTACCTGATTATCGGGCTAATGGCTCATCACGTCATCACGTGTCCTATCTTAAGAGAGTTCCTGTTTGATGATATTATTCCAAATTCCTATATATTTATAGCTATCAACTATTTTTAGGGCAAGTAGATTTGACTTTCTTTAACACATTATGATTGTCATGGTAATAAAGGGTTATAAAGACGTTATCCTGCACATCTGTTAAGAAATAAAAGTTCTTGATGGAGACAACAGTTGAAAAGGCCTTTATGTGTCAGAAGCCTTCATATTTAGAAGGGAACAGCATAAATAAAATTTACATGAAAATGACGTTTGTCCTATTTAGAAAAGTAACATTTCAAAACTATACGAAACTTACCATGTGATAACTGTCGGAAGACGGATAATACGTAAAACAATTACCTTTTCAAGAAACATAATTCATAGCCCATAATTAAAGAAACTTACTGTAAAGAAAATATCCACAATATTACCTGTTCTGAGCTATCCATAGAACCGTGGCATGCAAGCAGTAAAACCTTGGTTGGATCTCCCAGCAGTGGATGAGATTGGAGTTGATCCTTGAGAGAATTTATGTCATCCCAACCAGTCATAAACACCAAAACAGCACCGGGCCTTTCTTTTCTACATATATGACAAAGAACATTCTCAATAAGATTGAAGCCAATTGAATCAGCGTTCCAGCATGATAGGGAATCCCTAGTCCGTGGGTTAAAATCTCTTAAATCAGCTGCTTCAAGTGCGTCCTGTTTGAATGCACAAAGTTTTATGTTAATCAAAATATAAAACCAATGCACAGACAAAGAAGTCAGTACTCCCAGAATCCTATACCTCTGCAGCCGAAGCAATTTGGCTCTTCCTTTTACGGACGGTTTGTTTCTGCATTTTCCAACTTTTCTCTTGGCCATAGTTATCAATTTGATTATATGTTGACAACCTGTATCCAGTCATTTCTAATATATTCTCTAGAAAATAGCTTCGGACAGGATAAGTGAACCCCTGCCAAGGAGAAATCACAAGGACAGGACAGGCAAAGTATTATTAACAACACCAAAAAGAGTAAGGAATAAGCACCAAAAACAGAGCATGGAGACAGGCAATGCTTGAAATGATCTTCATCTAAAAATGGTAGTTTAAGCTGAATTCTTATGTTACCATAACTTGAACGAGGAAATCTCAAAGTGCTTTTTCTGCATGCAAATTGCAAATACATACTCTTAGGGGGGGTTTGGATTGATGGAATGATTTTGAGGGATTTGGATTTGGATTTGGATTTGGATTTGGATTTGGATTTGGATTTGAATCTTTGGTGTGTTTGGTTTGTAGGATTTGGAATGGAATTGAATTTCATTCTCTATAAATAATCTATAGAAACACACTATAAGTAATTATAAAAATGATTAAATTACATTTTTATTAATTGATTATTACAAAACAAATGTTTTTAACATGTTATATAACATCATTACATACAAATCCGAAATCCTGCGAAATACCAACCACCTGCCTAGGATTTCAAAATCCTATGTTTATAGGATTTCATTTTCAAATCCAGGAAATCCTTTAAACCAAACATGGGATTGGAATGGAATTCAAATCCAAATCCCTCCAAATCCAATCCAATCCAATCCCGCAAACCAAAGGGACCTTAGCTTAACAGCCAAAACTTACAGGAATATGGATCATTGGAGCCCCAGCAAAGTAGGAGGAGAAAAGCTCAGCATTTAGGGTTGCGCTCATCAAAATTAACTTCAGTTCTGGCCGGCGAGGAAGGAGCTCCTTCAGGACAATAAGAAGAAAATCTGCCATGAAATGAAGATTTCGTCAGGCAAAAATTTGTGATTTAGATTAATAAAAAATTTATGAGTTTCTTTAAGTTACCTTCATTCATCCCTCGTTCATGGATCTCATCAACAATAACATGAGTCACACCTCGCAAGCTCCTGTCGAGTAGTAATCTCCTTAGCAATATGCCAGTGGTGCAAAACAGCAGACGAGTATCCCTTCCTTTTATTCCCTCAAGCCGAACTTTATACCCAACCTTTGGGAAAAGACCAAAATAAAAGCATGTCACCATCTATTACAATGTTAAGGAGCTACAAACTTGTAAAATATATATTAAGTTGAGACAGAAGTTACAGAATCTCCAAGCTTCTCCCCTCGTTCTGCTGCAACCCTCTCAGCAACGGACATGGCCGATATTCGTCTGGGCTGGGTACAGATAATGCTGCAAAGAGCTCCACGAGCAGCGTCGATCTCAGACTCTAAGATGTACTGAGGCAGTTGTGTGGTCTTACCACAACCCGTTTCACCAGACACAACAATTACCTGCCAAAACAATTTCAATTATCTTCGGCTCAATTACACAATCCTTTGTACATTCATAAGGAGTGGTTTGGTCTAAGATAACATAGAAATTGGTTCGTATCAGTAAGGTTAATATTAGTCAGATTAAAATGTTGTACCATCTGCACATCAGTATACTTAACTAAGAATGGTAACTTAATTTGACAAATGAGCACAGTTAGCAAGACACCACCTAAGGGTCCCCAGCGAAGCAAGATGCCTGGTTGCCTTGGATAAGGGTAGATACTGAAGCACATAGGTACCATGGAGACTTTCGTCGCTAGCTGCCAGCAATTTATTTCAAACGGCCCCTCATTTAATATAGTCCCTCATTTTGTGTACATAAACTGTAAGAATTACACATGAACCCCTCATTTAATTTGTACGTAGATTATACAATTGAACACAGACCCTACAAGGCTACAAGAATCGTTGGAACTATTGGCATTTTGTCATAGCATCGAAATCATCTTTTTGTAAGCTAATAACACACACATACTACGTATACAGATCTGTCCATATGTCTATATATAAATATGGATTATGTTAATATTTGTATGCCTATATATACCTATGCTGTTAATTGCGGCGCAATATCAGATATCGGACCTATGCAAAATATCGGTGGTCAAATAGCGGTGCCGCTAATATCGCCGCAATTTACCACATTTTGACCGGTATTTAGGGTCAAATTGCAGTCCGCAATAGCGCTATTTAGTTTGGGTTTTTTTTGGGCTTTTTATTTTGATTTGGGCTATGTTTTAATTTTAATCCGTTAACATAACAGTATAACACTTAACAATAACTTCCTTTCTATCATCAACCCAAGTTAGAACTTGGAACAAAGTCGTAGGTTTTTCCACGTTCGACAGCCTCCTCCAGTCTCAGCTCAGCTTCTGTTTCCAGGTTCGGCTTTTGACGACCACGACTCCACGAGTCTCAGCTTCTGTTTTTGTATGCATACATTATATATATATATATATATATATATATAATTCTAAGAAATATTATATGAACCACTATTTTTGGACTGCTATACCACCACTATTTCAAAATCGTTCCTGACCGCTATTTTGTATTTTGATCGCTATAACAGCATAGATAAACACACACACAAACACGTGTGTGTATATTTCTGCAATCTTGGGCCATCACTGCTCACAAGGTTTCTTTCAACGCTCAAAAGGAGAAAGATGGCTTCATCAAGACGATCAGTGGCAATGAGTTAATGATAACATTGCCACAATGCAGCATGACATCTATGTGTTGCAAAAGCGCTTTGGTCATTCTTATTTCTTTGACGATGGGAATGAGTGATCCTTTTATGTTGTTAATATAAATTTGATTTGTTATGGTTGTACTAAACTTATTTTCATACCAACTTTATGGTTTGTTTGGAACTGCTATGTGTGCTTATTATGATGCTCCTCTTCGATGTGCTTTGATGTTAATATTGGTTAACTTATCCTCCCTAATCCTAGCCACAGGATGCTCCTTTGAGGGGAGCTCTTTTTAAGGGGGAGCTAATTCCCACCTTTTTTATCTCACTAAAAGAGGGAGAATATATGTATGTTGTGTTTTGTTTTGGGTTTTTGGTGCAATTTTAAAAATTCAACTTCATCTTGGAAACACGCCACAAGTTTATCCTCATCAAAAGAGAAGATTGTTGGTGCAAGTGTACATAAATTAATTTTCATTATAACACTTCACAGTTTCGTTTGATGATTGACAGACGAAACTCAACACTATTTGCATTCTAATAATTTAATTGTATCATGGAAGAATAAACTAATAAAGTTCAATAATCTGACAATATAAAATTATAAAGGCCAAATCTTCAAAGGATGGACTGACTTCGAGAAGCATGCTCTCTCCAAACATCACCAGAATATATTTCGAGAAATGTGCCATGAAGATTTAATTGAATATTTAATCGAGCAAACTTTCGGAAATTACTTCATCTTTGGATTATTATACAGTAAACATTCTTGGAAGAAATCAACAAAATACATGTGTGAGATTTTATAAAATAACAATCTTTTTCAAATATCATCTTGGATTAATAAAAATATGACAATACCTACTTTCTATATTGGTAAAAAAATCATATTTTCTATTGACTTGACAAGTTGCCTCAATTAGAAAGAATTACATTTAAATGCAAAAGTGGCTCATTAAATGCTCATAGTTGGCTAAACAAATCAAGACGTATGTTGTAAACTGTTTCTTACATGTCCATACTTTCAACGTTCAAAAAACAAAAGTTTTCTATAATGGGTCAGGGAAGACGTCTGCATGGTGCTCAATGCAGACACCCACGTGACCATCGATTTTGAAATTTGAAGTTCAAATTAAAGGTTTTTCTCCCACTCGAGAAGGCTCTAGGAGAACATGAATTAGCAAAGTTAGTGAGCCACTATAAACAATAGTGTTTGTATCTTTAATCCCAACTTTACATTCAGCATTATCATTTTATTTTTGATTGTTGTAGATAGTATTATTGTTAAACATTGGGGAAAAAGATTTTTAAAAGCCTCATTTACAACCTTAACCCCCCACCCCCAAGGTTGTCTACATTATTTTCATTTTATTTTCTCTATCATTTCTTTTTATCAATATAAAAATTTATTATTCACTCGATTACAAAAGAATATGCAACTCATTTTAGGATGTCAATACTAATTATAAGACTTCCTATTCTAGAACAATTTTATGCCAAAAATCCCTATCCACCACTAGGTAAAAATGCCTACTTGTTTGTGTAGGGTAGTCAAAGACTATGCCCACCTCAAGGCTAAGGTTTCATTCATTGAGGTACTTCACCTTAATTTATATGTTTCACGTTTAGAATTGGAATTTAAGATATCAAGTATCATAATTACATAAATTATGGTTATGTAATGGGTCATTCCTAGGAGTGGAAGAAAATTCAACAACACTATGACCTATTGTACTTTAGTGAGCTCTAAATCGACCAAATCTTTTAACAAATAGGTCCTCTGGAAGGAGTTTACGCAGCCCTATATGCTTTCTCTGAAATTTAAACTTGGTCAAGGTATCTTTTAGTTGACCATCCTCAAGTATGTCAAAGTACTTAGAATGTTGTAAGGTATCCCTATATCAAAATAGGTAAATTTTAGATGATAAACATGTAGCCTTACACAGGAACCTCGTAAGAGAATAATAACAGTTTTGACAACGAACAAGAACACAATACTGATAGGATATCATACTTGACCTATCTCAGTAGTTCAAAAAGGTAAGACAAGTGATCTCTTACTTTTACCACAAATTGAAATTTGAAACAAAATATTACATGACCGAGCAAAAAAGCAACAACAAATTAAAACATTACCTGGTTTCTGGAAATAGCATTTAACAGTGCTTCTTTCTCTTTATATGCAGGTAGACTTCTCCGTAATTCTTGCATTTTTTGGCCTTCAGCAGATTCCTACATATATACATAAAGACGTCATAATGATATGCCATGGTCTAGCATCAGCATCTGCTAGTAGTTTATATATCAAGAGCATATTCCTGCAACTTAAGAATGATGTGTAAGTGACAAAAGAATGACTTAAGGAAGGCAGATCAAGTTAAACACCTCTGGAAAGCCATATGAATTGAGTGGAGAGCACATACATCAACTTAAAGAATATCAAAATACACTAAAAGCAACCAGTCCTCTAGTACAAATTACAATAATATACTTCTCAAGTGAGACTGAGATAAACCTTCCAATCTTGTTGGATATTGCGCAGCTGCAAACTCTTCCGTCGGAGAATTCCCTCTGCAACGGGACTTCGTCTCAGAGGCTCATTTTGCTCATGAAGTCCTTCCTCAATAACAAGACTCGAGGAGGTGCTTGATGTTGGTAAGACATTGTTTGGATAACCATCTCCCAGAACAGACTTTTGTGAGAGGTATGATTTGAGATGATAATCAACCCGGCTGTGTAATTCTGGAGAAAGAACGACCTACAAACATTCAAGAATGTTCACAACCACATGCACTCAACTAATATATGTATGTAAATATATGGTGCTTTTGGACATGAACCCCTGTTTGTCCACATGGAGGGATGGAGCTTCCACAACCAATATTAATCATGTGTGATTCCATTAACTAGACCACCACATTAGTAAATGAATGTATGAGTATATATATATGTGTGTAATTTTTTGGATAATCTTGTAAATGTATGTAATAAAGTGTGCACGCATGCACATATTACATTCGGATGCAGCAGTTACCAATCTAGGCTACAACATTACAAATACTCTTTCAAGTCTATATGTTTATGACAATTATTGAAGTTGCAAAAAGTTATTGAAGAAGGAATTTCGTATCAATGTAAATCACAGTTGTTATGGTGCCATGTTATGGTGCCACAGTGACGAATAATGAAAAAGTACCTCTCTTTGTGGGCGTTTATCATCCAGATCTGATCTGTAATTTGGCAAGGGAACTTTACTAAAGACAACTACTTTTGCATATTGGCGGCTGCAAAAATTATTATTATCAGAGCACAAAAAGGCAAGTATGAACAGTCAATACAAAGATAATGGTCACTGAAACTCGGTATACCTATGTAAGCCCATTCGAGTGGCCAATGCAGAGATTTGCTCAAAGTCTCTTCTGTCTTTTCTCTCTCGAGAAACTAGCTCTTGCTCATTTTTGTTGCGGATTAGTGTAGTTAGCTTCCACTTCCACTCTTCAATGTTATCAAGTGTTGAAGCCCCCTAGTCAACAATCAATATAGAAAGTGGTGATATGTAGTGACATATAAGCACAATGAGTTCAATAGATAAGGCGTGAAAACATTCATAACATAGGTAATAATTTCTTGATTGAGTTAAAATAAATGTTATCATCAGAGCTAGCATGTCGGTGCCATATTGTTTTGCCCATTTGCTACTTATTCAAGATTTGATTGCCTAAAAGTTCATATTCAATTAAATAATATTAATGTTAGTTTCATGGCAGTCATGTAGTAGTTGTTACAACATTACTTGTGATTTGTTTTTATCCACAAGATGTATTTGTTTTGAAGAGAGAGTTCAATGGAAGGGTTATTCAGACATCTAATTAGCATTCAATCGCCGTTACTAGTATTTATGCAATGTTGAAGACTTTTACTCTTGTGATTTGTGAAACAGAGGGAGTATATTTTGAATATTATATTGTGGTCAATCAAATGGTCAACAAAACTTACAGAGGTGTAGAATATAACAGTTATTGATTCATAAATAGGAAAATAACCAAACATTTATCTATGTTTTAGAAATTGGCAACGAGTCCCCATCCCACCGGGTTTCCATACCACATGTGTCAAACATTTCCATGTAGCTACGACTGACATTTGGTCTAAGCATGTGCTAGGTTCAACTCATCTCAAGTTGCTAGCTGCTTGAACTTGATATCATACAAGAAGATTGATGACCACTTATAACTTGATAATGTCGGGATTTATAAGCATTCTTACAACTCTAAATACGTATGTCTATAAATGTGTTTGTGTGTATTTGCATTAAGTTCAAGCTATAGAAAGAAGACTTTGTTTTCATAAAAACCAACATTTTATTTCACCAATAACTACATTATTGCAAAGGAAAATAGCATTTCTTTGGGCCAGGCAATATTTTATCCCCTATTACAATTCTCTATACTTCTGTTGGCTTCCTTGCATATTCACTTCAACATAAAGCATCTATACATGCTTAAGCAAACAAACAAACACAATCTATCTGTTCACTGTAGAATAGAAAACATAAGTCTGTGGGGGAAGGGGGTCTTCACAGAAACAAGCTATCTACTGGAAGCTCTACCTTTTAGGGTAGAGCCCTGCTTACATCCCACCCCCACCCTTAGACCCTGCTTATACTCGGTTGGATATTCTGGGTTGGTTTGGTTTTCCACATGGAAATCACAACCCCTTTAGTTGAAATCCTGATAATAAGAATCTAGTGATAAATTGGAGTTTTAAGTTTCTACCACAACAAAACCCCATTCGTAAGCATGTATGCCAACACTAATTTATCCAAAGAATACAACGAGAAATTAGACATAAAAATGATAATGTGATATAGGGAGAGCTGAAAGTGGCATGGATTCCTCTTTTTCTTCGGCAGGGGTAAATAAAAACTAAATAAATCGAAAGGAAGTATCTTTTGTGCAATTTAGTCTACGGGATTACATCAAACTTGCAAGGTTTTGGTGGGATGGGAAATGATTCGCTATCTATTTTGCAGAAATCCTCATTAGGTATAAATAAAAACCAACCAAACTGGGAGATGACTGCAAATGTTCACGGTCAGACTCCTCCTCGGAAGCATATTCGTCGTATGCGTAGCGACTGTAGGGCAAACTTTGCTGGTAAAAGTAAGGTGATGAGTAGGAATCTCTATTTCCCGTTTTCTTAATGACGAGATTGGAAGAAGAGACATGGGAAGAAGACGAGCAGGTTAAGACTAACGCAGGACTCGACAACGGAGGAAGAGGGCGGACGAGTCTAGGGCTTAAAGTAAGGCGACGGCGGAGCTGAAATGAACTAGTTCTGAGTGGGTTCAGAGATAATCTGAGGTAATTGTGAACAAAAATTGCAGAGCAAGGCATGATGGGAATCTTGGGATTTCTTCAGTTCATCATTTCGAGTGGAAATTGCAGATTTTGGGAGGGTTTTAGATGGGGTTATGGCGTTGTTGGTCGAGGGGGCCAAGAAGCTCTTGACCTGTAATTTTTCTCAAGAGCCTATGTGGAAGAGGAAGTGCCAAAATGACTTTGTTTTTGTAGTTTTCTTTTATCATTTTCTTGGAATTTTTCTAAACGTCCCTTTTTTATATTTATTGATGGTTTTGTATCATTAATCATAATCTATATCTATACTATCTATATCTATACTATATTATAAAGCATTTGGCTAAAAATTTTAAAAACTCTTAAACTCTTAAAAACTCTTAAACTCATTCATCCCTATTTGATTTCATCCCATATCTGAATTCGTGTAACTAACTGCAGATAAACACAATCAAATACAGGATAAACATCTTATTTTAAATATAAAAAATCTAAAATATAATTAGGATAATCATTAAGTTCTAACAAAATATTTAATTATTATCTTTATAAAATGTTATATTATTAAACCAAAAATAAATTATTTCATTATT